TATTCCGGTAGAACTCGAAATCAGGCTAAAGAAGACCAAATGTCAGAAGAGGAAGTTCGTGCCACTTACTAAAAACAATACAAGGTCAAAGAAGCGGAAACAATTATAACACCACTTTTATTAAATTAATATCATATTACTCGGGATTACTATCTCTTTATCATATATATTAAACAGGTGCTCAACTTATCAAGACATCACCTGTTGATACGACTGCTATATTCATTATCACACTATCAATTATCTCAAGTATAAATAACCAACTTGTATCATTAATAAATCATTATCTTTATTTTGACATTAAATACTTTGATTCTTTATAATTAACCACTGAGAGTTGAATTATAATATACCTTAAAACTTACACTTGTGTCAAGCCTGTAAATGTTGATGGATCTGATGCCTCAAAGAATCACGTGACTAGCCGGGTTTGTCCGACCCGAAGTCCGGACCTTGACGTAGACATGCCTCTAGAAATCGAGCTTAGGCTTAAGAAGACCAAGAACCAGAAAAGACGATTTGTACCACTCAAGAATAATCATATGAATCTGAAAAGGTCAAAGATAAATAACACCACTTTATTATATACAACATAACACCACTTCGGGTTCATCTATTTCATATTGATAGCCTGTTCATATTATTCTTCATCATTAGCATTAGCATCATCATCACATTTATTATTATATTTATCACATCACCTATATCTTTACAATTAGTATATATATCCCTTAACATTAGAACAATAAACCATTATCTTCTATTTGAATATTAAATACTTCTTTACTACTTTCCCATTCTAATTAACCACTGAGAGTTGAATTAGAATAACATTGAACTTACGCTTGTGTCAAGCCCACAATTGTCGATGGTTCTGATGCTTCTCTAAGCCACATTCCGACCCGGAATCTACCATGGATGTTGAAATGCCTCTGGAGATCGAATTACGATTAAAGAAAGCTAAACTTCTAAAAAGAAAGTTTGTACCCAAGATAACCAATGCCAATAGAAAACGGCCAAAGAAGTAACACCACTTTATTATAAATATCACAACACTACTTCTACATCAACAACCTGATTACTTATATTTATCACAATCAATTCTTATATCTATCACCATACTTTTATTATATTATCACCATACATATCAACATTACATTATCACCATATTCATTATTATCACATTATTATCACATTCTATATATTCCCCAAACTAGTATAAAAAGCTCCTAGCTTTGTATCAAATAAGCATTATCTTCTATTTTATATATATAAGTACTTACTTATTTATTCACTGATTAACCACTGAGAGTTGAATCTATTAACCTATAAACCTATTACAAGACTGATATTTGGTAGCACCGGAATCCTAAATGACAAACAATACTGAGAACATGAATAACTAGAATGCTGATATGGCTGAACTAATCAAGAAATTTACCATGGCTATGACTGATAGCAAACAGACAAGAATCAAAGAACCCGAGGTGTATGATGGTACTCTTGATGCCCTTTTGATTGACGGCTGTATCAGATCCATTGAAAGATTTACTACTTTTAACTCCTGGACTCCAAACGTAGCTACTTCTACGCTACCACTTTATTGCGTGACCGTGCTGATGCTTGGTTTAGAACCATTGAATTAACTGATGATGCTCCTACTACTTGGTTGGAATTGAAAAGACTTATAATTGAATTTTTCCGACCGGACAACTCAACAAGAATTGCCCGTGACAAACTGGCTGTATTAAAACAAGCAGGTGATTTATTCACTTACATTAATGAATTTATGGATATCAAGTTGGCTATCCCTGGTATGACTGATGAAGAAGGATGCTACAAGTTCATCCGTGGTTTGACAAGCAAGAAAATGAGATCCCACATTTGCCAGTATGATGCTGATACATTCAAACAAGCAATCCAAGCTGCACTTGCTTTTGACAGTGCCCAACAAGAAGAAAATTATTCGTATCTGCCCCGCTCATCGCACGTCAAGGCTAGGCTGGATGACCCTATGGATTTGGATGTTGCTGAAGAAATTAATTATGTTCGAAATGATAATTATGGACGTGGAAATAACAACGGTTATTTGCGTAACAACAACAACAACTTTTCTCGCAATAACAATAATTATTCTCTTAACAATGGAAACAGCTATGGTCGTAACAATGGGAATTACAATTTGCGTAATGGTAACAGCAATTCTGGTAGTAACACTTCGTGCTATTATTGTCACAAGTCTGGTCACATCAAGAGAAATTGTCGTACTCGTTTGTCTGACATCTAGAAGTTGGATGATCAACACTCCAAACGAAATTTTCAGTCAATGTAGTTGAAGAACAGGAAGTTCACCTACCTGACATAGATAACTATAACAATTTTCCTGAATATAGAAACTTGATTGATTTTGACCTTTATTCTACTGATTCTACACTAGATAGTACACTCTGTGATAACTGAGAATAAAAAGGGAAATGTAAATTGGAAAATAAAACAAGTAAAGAAATGAGACTCTATAATCCTTTATTATAAGTTGGAGAGTTTGTCATGATAAAATAGAGGTCCTTTTTATATTCAATTATTACTTCAAGATTTTTCCTACGCAGATCGAATTGATTATTTACCCGCAAACTGGGAAATGGTAGAATTAGATTTAGAAATCAGTTACATATGAAACATAGCTTATTGTTATATACAAGGAGCTAGTTGACCCATATCCGGCACTTCTAGAGCATTATAGTTTATCCATTCAATGACAGGGTCCTTGATTGGATTACTAAAATAAATTTATGAGAAACTAGAAGATTCGGCAGCTACTCGACCAATCCAGGAACGATTATGAAATCTGATCTCAGTTTGACATATGAGGGAGCTAGTACTGTGTCGTACCAATAGAAATGTATTCGCAATGTGGTAATTATAATACACAGGTTAGATGTATTATAATTGAGTGACAAGATAAGAGTAATTGTATTCGTGGAATTAGGCGTCAAATACGACATTTCTCCCTACCAGAATAGAATTACCCCTGAACCATTTCAGCAGATAATCGATCAAAGAGATGATTTTTCAATAAAGCAGAAAATAAAATTACACCATAGGTTTGACGCAAACGAATGAGTAGGTATAAAAAAACGATTGGAAGCCCACGGCTAAAAAGAAATTACAATTAATTTGATTTTGGGTGTTTGGCTCTCATGTGACGTTTAGAATGGCGTTGAGAGGGAACAGGATTTAAATTCTTACGTTTGTTAGAATTCTTCACTGCAGAAGGCATATCATGAGATGGGACTAAAGTGGAAACTTGTTGGCGTGGGGATACTCTGGTTGTAGTAACATTATGAGTTGAGCTACTTGGAACGACAGGAGACCCATCGTCAGTAAAAGAATTAATCAGTGTAGAAACTGAACCTGGAGGATTCTTTTTCCAGGAAGAGAGAGAAGTAGGAGAATTGGTAACGACATTTGATTTCTTACGCTTATAAGGAATACCTATTTTCTTCCAATAGTCATGTCGTATTTGGGTATGATTTATTTGAGAATAAACAAATAAATCGAATAAATAATAAAAACATGGCATAAAAACATCCTTTAAAATTGAGTAACAGCATACACCTGTATACTGCTACACAACGACTCCTACTATGAGTACATATTTCTATATAAAAAGATCGCATGATTGGCTTAAAATCGATATACGAATGACAGTTGGATACAGAATTCTATACCACTGAGTTACGATATCACCGATCGGGAAGAGAAGCTTCTCCGATCAAAACAAGAAATATAAGAAAGAGAAACTTAATATTAATAGCTCTCTCAATGGATTAGCTACCCATGGAGAGAATAGAACCGCTATTTATATAAATGGTTCAATTACTTATATTTTGATAAACACAACTTATACGACTGTAACTGTATAATAGAAGTAGTGCATGGAATATTTGGATGCCTATTTTTTACAACTAAATATACAAACATCGATAAGATGTTCTATATTTAGGATCACATATTTATCTATGTCTTAGATAAAAATAATCAACAGAATGGATAAATGATCAGACATAACTACATGCACTGAGAAATTTTTTTCAGGTTCAGGTTAAAGTTAGACCGCGGAAAAGTTAGACCAGAGGTCGCGGTCTAATTTTAACATGAACCTCAGGTTCTGGTGTACGGTAGACCAATACCTCTGGTTCTGGTCTAATATTTTACGATTTTAGACCAATACCTCTAATTTTTTTTATATAAACCAACCTGAACCTCTGAAACGTGACGAATAAAAGCATGGTATTCTTGTTATTTTATAGGATTGAATTGGTCAATTTTTTATAAAACTAGCTTTATTATACCCTTGCACTATTGCAAAAAAATAAAAAAAATAAAAAAATAAAAAATTTGGAAATAATAAAATTTTTGGGGATAAATAAATAACGTTTATTGAAATAAAATTTATTGTTCAGCGAAATAGTCAGAACGTTTATGTATACATCTATAATATATTGTAAAAAGGATAGCATGTCACTCTTTCGGTCTGTAAGACAAGGATTGAAAGCTATAACTGGAACCAAATACCATGATTGTAGTAAGGTTTGCCGCAATTTCGACAGTGTATGGAGAGCCAGATGAAGAAGTGACAGCCAATTAAAAAAAATGTAATACTTACCTTCAACAAAGCTAATAATTCGGCCGGATGGAGCTAAAAGAAACAGTTAGAATATATTTCAATGTGACATGATTCATTTATTTAAAGGTCTTACATCTGGGCGTCAACAATAAGAGATTAGGGTGCCCTAACACGATAGCAACTCAAAGGGCAGAGCTTCTACATAACCAATAATGTTTACCGTACAAAACTACGTCTATGATATGAGTTTATGATATTGCAATGTCTATAATTACTTACTGTATTTTTATTGAAATGGAATAGGAAAGAAAAGGAAAGAAAAGTAAAAAATAAAAAGAAAAACTTAAATAGAAATTTTTTTTATTAAAACTCCCTATCTCCCGCTACGACTACGATTGGGCAGTATCAACCCATCACGTTCTGATCTTCTTTTGGCTTTCTTTCGAGCTTCAGAATCAGAGCATGACGAGGATGGAGAAAGTCGAGCGTGTGGCAAAGAGATAGAGAGCGCTGGAGGGGAAGATAAGGGCCGGGGAAGAGGAGGGGAGGAGACAACATCATCTGCGATAGAAAATGGAGGGACCTCGGTCGATGGTTGTTGTTCTTTCGACCTATCTGACATTCGGTGATCCATGTCTTGACTGGCCTGCTCCTCCTCTTCATCCTGTTGGGTTTCGTAAGATCCAGTCTGACGAGCTGATTCCATACAAAGCCGGTCCAGGTAGCTGGTCATGGATAAAGAACTTTGTAATCCATCTGGCTTGGGTCTCTGTTGACAAATTGTGATTAATAACATATTACAAAACTATAGACACCAATATTACTAACAGTCTTTTTGGCATTTCCCAAGGAGTAAATCACCATGTTTTTAGAAATCCAATTGTTTATTGCCAGATGAGTTGGTACGACAGGACTACTGACAGTCAAGTCGAACATTCTTCCGGACCTTGTAGGAATACCAGGCTGGCCGTCATAACATTTCCAATTGTAGAGTATACGCTCAAGAGTATAGAGGACGGTTTGCTGCTGGTTAGGCTTTTTAAGGTCCGACCAACAGTAACCATCAACTCCGTAATTACTCCCAAAATATACACTCAAAAAGGTACCCGTAATATGGAACGTATTGTTGTACGCCAACTCAGCCTTCTTCTTGAACATGGCATTCCTTTCCGTCTGATCTACCAAGTTGAATTCATCTTCGTGAGAAAGGCTCCTAAAGTATTTCTCCGTCTCCTCCTTCACGGCAAAAACAAGGTAAGGCTTAACGACAGGTATCGTTCTTTCACCTAGGGAGTTCCAATTACCATGGATACCATGAGCCCGATCTTGCGCATCATAGTATCGGATGGCTCGTGCAATGCACTCCCTGAACCTGCGTTCGTCGCTTTCTTGCTCTGTAATGCAAATAAATAAAATATGATGGTCAATAAAAGTATTACCGGCCTCTTTTATTATAAAAATCTTACCATGAACAATGTTCGATCCAGTGATTGTAGCCCTTTTGGTTGACATGGCTTCACGGTTGCCATTTGAGAGAGCAACAGATACGGCCATATTTACTACTTGGGGAATCTTGCTGATGGTTTCAGTAAGAGTGTTGATCGTTGTTTTCAAGGAATCAACCATTTCTTTCAATGATTCGATTTGTTCTTGCATGTCACGAGCTTGATAAGAGGGATTGCTAGGGTTCATTTTTTAATAATAAAAAGTTGGAATAAAATAAAGTTGTTAACATGGACAGATAACTATATTTTTCTTATATAAATAAAAAACCGCCCTGATGGTTAAGCCGATTCGACATGTCTTACAATTTTAAAAAAAGATGTTCTACTTGTCTAATGATTTCAAACAACCCCGTCCTGGATCAGCCGATTAGGAACACTCTTCCATTGTTCTATTTGAATTGCGACAGAACCAGTAAGATACAGACGTTTTTTGCATCCTGTTCAATTGGTTACGGCTAAACATAATGGCTGTATCTCATCCTTTTTCCAATCCCTCAACTGGGTAAGATGTGATCCTAAATATTAAGCACCAAATTGATATTTCTACAGAAAACAAAAAGGTATAAATAATTCGTATTAAAAAAAGGTTTGATATACTTCCTTTCGACAATCACAAAATTATATTTGAACTATAAACAATGTCTGCCCCCAATAGAATTCAGAAGACCAAGGTCTTACGTGTCCCCAGAAGTGGTTTAACTAAGCCTCTTTTGCGAGGTATTTTCAATGAACATCGTACTGGTCCCACTTTGCCTGATGTTACTGGTCCCACTTTGCCTGATGTTACTGGTCCCACTTTGCCTGATGTTACTGGTCCCACTTTTCCTGTTGTTACTGGAGCTACTGTATCTGAGGATAATGGAGCTATTGTATCCGAAGACAATAGAGCATTTGGATTTGAAGATAACGATATAGGGATGTCGGAAGATGGTGCTTTTGATATGTCGATTGTTAATCAAGAAGTAACACAAATGCTAATCGAGCAGGAAGTACGTCGAGAGGAGGAAGAGCATGACCGATATGTCGAAGGTGAGATTTCAGACATAGAAGATGAACACATTGAAACCGAAGATATGCAAAGAGCGAATAATTATATGTTTGAGTCTACAACAGAAAATGTCGATATGGAAGAAAGCACAGAAGGTAAATAATATATTATTTGGTCAAATATTCCATGGTGTACCTAATATGGTTGGAATTGCATATAGTTGTGCACAATAGTGGTGATGATCAAGATGGTCCCGTTATCAAGAATGTCATTATACCGGATTATCCATTCACCAAAGATGAGCTTGATAGTTTGCAATTTACTTATCTCTGTATCAACAATAATATGACGGTCCAGTCTATAAGGAATATGAAAACGTTTATCGAAATGATACTTAACCGAAACAAAACACGTAAGTCAAGATAGTACATTTTGCCAAAGTTTTTCCACTTACCTTTTTTTTATAGCTCAATCTCGTAAAAAAAAGTTGCTTGTTCTCAAAGAGTGTCTTGCGTTGATCAAAAAGAAAATACCTAATTCTTTCGTCCGTACCCATGAAATCTGCTCGGGTAAAGGTTGTTATCTTTTTGATCCTGTTATTGATGTTGATATGCTTGCTTGTCCCCACTGCGGTGCTTCCAGACGGCCCGGTTCTGTAGTCAAAATGGTTGACATTGGTGATCACATAAGCCACATGCTCGCCTGCGACGAATTCCGTAAAGAAGTAGAGCAATACCGGGAAGTCATCGTTGCTAGAACAGATGATGACCCCTACACAGATTTCCTCTCTGGTTCCGCATTTCAAGAGCTTCTGGCGAAAGGTCTGTTTGCTGGTAAGCATGATATCGGAATAGTTCTCTGTGTAGATGGTTTTACTTCTCGTGTCTCCAACCAAAGTATGGTGATGGTCCATGTCATCATTCCTAGTATAGATTCATCAATCAGGTAAAATATAATCTTTTTATATAAACTTAAAAATCAGTATTAATTTCTTATTTTTACAACTAATTTAGATACACAGATGATTATACCTTCCAAATAGCAATTCTTTTTGGTGATACCAAGACCGACTTTGATTCGTACTTACGCCCGATTATTCAAAGTCTTGATCGGTCGAGCCGACAACCTATCGTTGTCAAACGTAATGGTATCTTTGTTGCTAAATCGCATGTTTACAACCTTGGTGTCATTGCAGATGGCATCGAGATCAACCAACGGTTGTTAAAGTTTGCTGGCCATACAAGTTGGTATGGGTGTCGATTTCGCCTTGGTAACTAATACAACTCAATTGAATAACACTTTCAAATTCTAACCCTCCTCCTTAGTAAAAGGTGGCCACCCCGTCGAGGAAAAAAAGTCCGGGATGTATTTTTTCGAAAGAGGTGCTCCTATTCGTACAAGAGAGTCTTTGATCGAAGAAATAGTAAGTGCTAGGACAGAGCTTCATTTCAATATAATATTAAATACCTCTTCTTATTATAGCCTGCTGGAACGGAAAGATACGGCATCAAGGAACCCACGCCTTTCGGACAGCTGAGTACCTTCCTCTCTATTGACTTTTTCATGTGTGATGAGCTTCACATGTTCTCAAATGTTAGCAAGCTTTGCTTCGATCTCTTTTCCCCAAGATACAATGGTCGTTACAAGTTTGTTGATAACGAGGCATGCTACCCCTTTGCTCTCACCATGGAAAACATCCTCAATGTCAAAAGATCGATGGATGAATCTCGCTGCACAATCCCCTCCGATTTTAATGGCTCATTCAAAGGTGTACTTTCAGAAAACGCTCGGTCCATGTACCGTTCTGTGGACTGGATAGCTTGGCTGGTCTACGTTGTTCCGACAATAATTGCTCCTCTGTTTCTTGCTAAAGAAACCAGGATTGCGGTTGTTGCGCTTGCCCGTGGAATAAAAATCAGTCTGCAATGGTCGATCTCGTCTGTTGAGGTTCAGGAAATTGAAAGGTATTTAATTTATTGATTTACGAGCAACCATGTAATATTTAAATTACCTAACTGTTATTTTCTATTTAGGTCCTTCGAAACATGGTTCAAGTATCTTGACACCTGTCTTGCCAATGATACGATTTCCAGAACTGTTTTCAGGTCAAACCTCCATCAGCTCCACCATATACCTTACATGATCCGAAGAATGGGGTAAGCTACTGATTATTTAATCCTTATTCGATCATATACTAACCAACTTCTATAGTCCATTGCGGTGTTATTCTGCCAGGTCCCTTGAACGGTCGATTGGTACCTACAAAAAGCGTATCCGGTCTTCCCTTCATCCTGGTATTAATGCTGGTAACATTATGGAAACCCGGGAGATTTTTGGATTCTTCAACGCTTCCAATATCTTTGATTTTTCAGCTTTGACGTCGCCCCCCGACAGCAACGATAAGAACTTTGAGCAGCATCCTCAAGATTCCACATATCCTCAACTCTGGTCTCCTTTCGATGATTCTCTCCCACAGGTTGGCGTTCTCTTGCAGGGTTTTTCGGGTATTCTCATGTGTGGCTATTATAGCACTTTCCCTTGGTGTAAAGCATTGATGAGTTGTATGACAAGGCTGACTGGCGTAAGACAACGAGTTGTATCGGCATTTCATCAACAACAAAGACTTCGAATTTCGACAAGGTTATTCACCAAGGCTATAATGTTTCGCCTGATTCGTCCATTTGGACGAATTTTTAGTAAGTGTTTACCCACTTACCCAAAAAAAACGAATTGGGTAAATTTACCCATTTACTCGTTTGGACGAATTTTTTAGTAAGTGTTTACCCATTTACTCAAAAAAAACGAATTGGGTAAATTTACCCATTTACTCGTTTGTACGAATTTTTTAGTAAGTGTTTACCCATTTACCCAAAAAAAACGAATTGGGTAAATTTACCCATTTACTCGTTTAGACGAATTTATAGTAAGCGTTTACCCATTTACCCAAAAAATAATAAATAAAAACAAAAAAAAAAACCTCTCCCTTTCAGCCTTCAGCCAAATGAAAAACTTTCGTTTATATATATTGAATCATTTAATACATTCATTCGTTTGAAAAAATTGGTTTGCAGTTTTAAAAGTTGATTATATATTTTATTTAAAAGAATGAAATTAAGATTTATTTATATCTTGATACTTAAGGACAAATTGCTATATAGAAGGATTACTACTTAAATGAGCTAAAAAGTAAACGGTACATGGCATAACATGAAGGCATTGATTATTTTGTATAGGAAGCAACGTATAATCTAAAAACAAGGGGGATAACCAAAGTTTTCTAAATGAATATAGGTTAGTTTATGATAAGAAGACTCAAAATTGATACGCACTAATTCCTTTTCTAAAGAGAGTAGCCGCCACAACGGTAAAAACAGGAAGCATAAGTCTGAAGAGATAATTAGAGAAATGAAAAGCCATAAACGAAAAACACTTACTTATAGCACTGGCGTAGTACATTGTAAGCACGGCCTTTATACACCTGTCTATGCTGATTTAAAAGAGAGATAAGTAAAGGGATGGACTTCAGAGATGGAATGGTGAGTTCACCAGAGTGTAATTGCAAAAGAAGTAAGCCCAGACGTTTATTCAGTTACATGGTTACGAGAAACAAGAACGAATAAAAGTAATTTTTTTTTAAAAAAAAACTGATTTATTGAGGTAAAAAGAAAAAAAATAGATATTAAAAAAGAAAAAAGGAAAAAGGAAAATGAAAAAGAAAAGGAAAAAGGAAAATGAAAAAGAAAAGGAAAAAAAAAAAGACTCCGTTTATATGTACTTTTTAGAGGTTGGTGTTACGACGGAGGGATGACTGGAGGCAGATAATTTTTTTTGTATACGCGGCTTCTTGACAACAGGACACTATGACAAATACTCGTCTGCTTCAGGTAAATGGAATGAATGAGTAATTTTAAGTGGATCTCAATTTTTATTCACCCAATCTGGGTAAGTATCCGCCCATAGACGAATGCTCGTCTGCTGCAGGTAAATGAAACGAGTAAAGTAATTTTTATTTACCCAATGTGAGTAAGTACTCGCTCATAGACGAATACTCGTCTGCTGCAGGTAAATGGAATGAGTAAAGTAATTTTTATTTACCCAATGTGAGTAAGTACTCGCCCGTAGACGAATGCTCGTCTGCTGCAGGTAAATGGAACGGATGAAATAACTTTTATTTACTCAATGTGAGTAAGTACTCGCTCATAGACGAATACTCG